GAGAATTGCACCCTTGATCTGCTCCTGACTTCCTTGAAAGACTTGAGTTCATTCCCGCCAAACAGGGAAGCTGGCAGGTGGAAAGAGCGCCACCTACTGAAATTGTTACTAAGACATGGGTCTTTGGGGATAAAATGTTCAGAATGGGATAACACCAAAGCATTCCATTGGGAAATTGAATCAGAATCACCTGTGGAGCACTTTAAAAAATAAGCATAACTAGATTCCACTCCAATTCCCCTACCAGGTCTGGGATGGGGGCTAATATAGCAGTATTTTTAAAAGATTCATGGACAATCACATGTATAAATCTGGTTAAAAATTACTGGTGTAGCACCCTATGTGAATATTAATAGTTACTAGGCACACAATGTTGATACTCACAGAATGTCCCATGACAGAGCAAATGGTGTGTATCTCTCTATAGTCTAGTGAAGACTTCACACCTTTGCAAAGGTCCAGTGGAGCTGCCTGTGACTCTCTTTCTGTATTTCAGGTTGATTGAATTCATCTAAGTTCTCTTGTGACAGGGTAAAAAAATAAATCTCCTTTGAGGAAAAGATAAATAATTAGCAGCCTAAGAATGACTCAGATTATCAGTAGTGAGAAAGAAAGATTAGAGGGAAATGTAAGCAATAGTACTGATACCCTGATGCAGTGGGTGGGTGGGTGGGGGAAAATGATTGGAAGTTGCCAGAGTTCAATTTGTGAAGAATATTTTGGGATTTGCATTCCCAGGGGATAATGGATTGGTTGATCTTTGTCACACTTCTTTTTCTAAAAATTTTAAACCATTTTTTAATCCAGGTAATTAGACAAATTGAATCTAATTTCACTTTTCGTGAAAATAATGCCCATATGATAGGTTATGAATGTGTTCTATAGCTCCATGCTAACTATTAGTGCCGTGCTTCTAGAAGTAAGAGCTACAGAGATTAAACTAATTTGAGGTCCCTATTTGATTCGGCCCTTTCTTATAGATACTATGTATGAAAAAAAGAAAAATTTAAAAAGGAAGTCGGGTAGCCATTATTTGACATCCAATTTTCTTATTCTAAAGTATGTTATGTTTCATTCTTTCTAGAGGTGTGTGAGAAAGCCTAATGAGATCTGACTCATGCCAACTCAGACTAGTGGGAGCAGGAGGGGCCTAGTAGTATCCTGCAAAACTCTGCACTACCAACCTCTGTTTAATCTGTTTTCTTATTTTATGTCTTAGTGTACAATATTGTTACTATTTGGCAGAAAACCTCCTTGAAATGTCACTAATTAGGCATGCCTGTAGGGAGAATATGGATTGATTTTCAAACACGTATCCTGACACTTCACAGTGACTTTTATTCCCAAGAAAATAAAGTAAGTCCAAGCAGGGGCCACAAAATAAACGCTCCTGAAACAAAGATTAGAGTCAAAGGTGAAAAGAAACACAGGTGCGTACACGCATACACACACACACACACACACACACACACACACACATTAAATCAGAATATCCAAAACAAATCCTAAAGGAACATTTCATTAGTGGATCCCTAACTTTTATTGCTCTGATATATGATAATCATTGGCTCTAGTTAGACTGGGTAGGGAGAGGGAAGGAAGTGAGGACTATTGGAGATAGGTGTGTTTACTGTGGGGCTGGTGGCTGTCAGGTGGGTGCAATCTTAATGATAATATGGATAAATTTTCTGAAGGAAACTTTCTTAAATATTCTGGAACCATAAAACATCAGTAGGGACTTTCTACTAGTGAAAAAGGAATGAAAGAGCCTCTCCCTAAATTTAATACTCAGAAAAGAGTAAAGTCTTAATTTTGATGGGTGAGGACTCCCGTTAAAGGTCAAAGTTGGATGAACTCACAAAATAAATGTTCAAAACATTTAGAAAGCATAAGTAGTAAAAGCATCATTATTGAAAGTGTTAAACTCAATCTAGAGTCAATGACATGGTCTAAAATTGTAGTCTAGATGCTGCAACTGCAAACCTACCAAGAAAACTTTGATATGCCCTCTCTCATTTAGAGTTTACAATAACTTTGAAAAATAGGTGAGAGAGTTATGACTTAACTCATTGGAAAAAAAATTTTAAACTAGAGAACATGTGTTTAACACATAAGGGGACATGTCAGAGAGATTAAGTAACTTGTCCAGGGTCACACAGCAGGTGATAAATTCTCAGACTTAAGTCTTCTTCAGTGTTCTCTTCACAAACTGAAGGGAAACAAATAAACCAACTTTAATTCCTTCCTTGGGGCAGAAAAGAAGCTCTGATCAACTTGTGACATTGTATCTTAGGCTGATACATTTTCATTACTTGCCTATGCTCACCCAGATGGAGGAGAATGCTACATTTAGGAAAAGATGTGTTTAGTGTTATTTTTTTAAAGTAGGTCATCCATTGTGGTAGGAATTCTGTTCATTGCAAAAGTGAGAGTTAATCTAGTCCCTAAAAACATTTCCAAGGGAGAGAATAACAAGTTACTCAAAGGTAGGAAAGATCAAACATTGGAGCTCTTCCTTGATTTCTCCTTTCTCAGGCCACAGAGAAAGCTGTTTGGGGTATGAGTGTTTGTAATTAAAGAAGCAAACTTGGATAAGAAGTTGTTGGATAAGAAGACATAGATCACATTTTCATAAAAAGCAAAAAAAAATTTTTTTTAATATCTGAAACTAATGTGAACAATTCCCTTTTTATTGCATAGGGCTGGAGAGGGTAGAGTTGGTTGATTTAGTTTAAGTCAGACTTTCGAACTCACAGATTTTCTAATGAAACCAAAACTCAGAATGAAACTTCACTCACACAATCTGGAGTAAGTGAACTGTTTTCCTCTAAACCATTTCATGAAAAGACAAATTTCTTGCAATTCTAGCAAATAACAGTGTCCCCCAACAGGGCAGCTTTCCAAGCAAAAAACACCTTATTACATATCCTAGATCTTTAGAAAAAAAATTAACATAGAATGAATTTATTATAGAATTGTTAATTCTTGGTGACAATAATTATTTTTACTTGCTAGCATCCATCTTTAGTTCTGAATTTTTAGAGACTTCATGCATGGTAGCCTATGTGGAGGGCACTGGTTTGGGTAGTAATGCATAGAAATCAGAAGCATAGCTTTGGGCGACAAGAAAAATAAAGTCCCAACTAAGGGACCTTTCAGATAGCTTTGCCCATGAAAGGGTTGTGCTATGAATTGGGTGTTGGGGAGAAGCTTACAAAAGGACTTGAGATGAATGAAAACTAACCTAGTCTGGACATCTTCTCAGAAATGTTAAAAAAGAAAAAAAACAACAACTTTAGAAATGAAGGATTGTTAGTTTCACTTTCCATTGCATAAATGGTTGTTCAGGTCTGCATTTCTAATTTATCATAGTTGATGGTGGTGTTTGAGATACTGGTGTGTCATTTGTACTTCAATTTTCCCATTCTTGAGAGGCAGTTTAATCAGGGCATGACCAAACTGAGTCAAACTGCATCATTACGGGGGTCTGCTCAGGAAATCCTCAAACACAGAAGGATCAGAAGTGGATGGAAATACCATCATAGAATGTCCCTCAAAAGAGCATTATGAGAATGACATTATATATTCATTCTTGTTCCACACTAGTGGTGACATTTTCCATGCTCTACTTTCTTAGCCTTATTGTTTAAAATTAAATGTATGTAATGATGGCCCACAGCAGTATTCTCAATCCAATACACTCCTATTTCTTCTCTCATCCAGTGATATAATAGTAAACAAGATATGTCATCTGCTCTCACAGACCATATAATCAAGGGGGGAAACAGACATGTGAATGGGCAATTAAAACATTACCATGTTTTGGTAAACTCTATTAACAAAAATGTGAGGATGCAATAGACGGAGTGCTTAGCTCATATTTGAAGGCTCAGAGAAACTGCCCCTTAAAAGTGAGATTTCATGTGAGATCTTAAGAATAAATTGGAATTATTAAGTCTAGGCTTAAACTCAGAGAAAAGTATTTGGTAGAGATAAAAAGAGTCTATGAAGAACCAGGGCATGACAAAGCATGATATATTTGAGAGAGAGAGAGAGGAAGAAAAAAAAAACCACATTCCAAATGCCATGTTTAGAAAGCCAAGAGCAAGAGAGTGAACTCTCAGACCTCAGCAGTGTGCAGGGAGCTGATCATGAGGGTTAGTGTAAATCATAGTGAAGAGTTTGGATTGTGGCCTAAGTTGCAATGGGAAATCAATAACAGGTTTTAAAAGAGAAGAAATGATTCGGACTTTGGAAATTTCTTGGTAGTTGCAGTGGGGAGAAGAGATTGAGAGAACACAAGAGAGACTAGGACCCCAGTGAGGAGACAGGAGAAGTCCATTAGGAAAAATTAGAGTGTTCTGGGTTAGAGATAAGGCAACAAGAAGGAGAGAAATGGAGAGGTCCAGGGATATCACAGACTTAGAAGAAATGGAGCATGGTAACTAGTACTTTGAAGCAGGGATAAGGCAGAAGCAGGGCTGAAGGATGTTACCCACATTTCTGACCTGGCCAATGAGATGGTTGTTGGTGACTTTCAGTTGAGATAAAAATAACAGGAAGAGAATAGGGCATGAAGGTAGGAGTTTGGAGACTGTGGGAGAAAACATGAATCAGTCACACACACACACACAAAAGTTACGTTGAGGGGGCACCTGGGTGGCTCAGTCGCTTAGGTGTCCAACTTCAGCTCAGGTCATGATCTCATGGTTCGTGGGTTCGAGCCCCATGTCAGGCTCTGTGCTGACAGCCAGCTCAGAGCCTGGAGCCTGTTTCAGATTCTGTGTCTCCCTCTTTCTCTGCCCCTCCTCTGCTCATGCTCTGCCTGTCTCTCTTTCAAAAATAAATAAAACGTTAAAAAAATTTTTTTAAAAGTTATGTTGAGGCACCTGAGGGTTGCCATGTGAGAATGTGAGAATCCAAGCAGTTTGATAGCTGAGCCTGAAACCTTGGAACCAGATTCAGACTGGAGTTACAAATGTGTGACTCTTCTGCATCAGGACGGCAGCTGAGGAGGAAAACTTTTGTGCTCTGATTGAGAAGAAAAGCGGAACTCTAGGAAAAGAACAGAGGAACACCATCCTTGAGCTTTGACAGAAAGAAGACCTCTCAGAGGAGGAAGGCAGAGGTGAGTGGTGGTGTGGGAGTGAGCAAGCTTCAAAAAGGAGGTCTAACCTGTTAGCAGTACCACATACTACTGAGCTATCACCGGAGACGAGTAATGAGAAGTATGCCTGGGGTAGGACAGTGGGGCATTTGCTGCATTCTTGGGCACAGTGCAATTCAGCTGAAGACCAGACCTAACAGAAGCCAGATTGCCTGAGGTTGAAGGATAAACAGGAAGGGAGGATGAGGAGATAGGGAGTACAAATGACTACTTAAAGGTTAGTTCAAGATGCGAGGAAGGAGATAGCAAAGTTAAGCACAGAGGGATATAGGCTTGAAGAAAGAATTTTCTAAGATGGGAAAGATGAAATTGAGGTGGGTGGTTAAAGATGCAGAGAAGAAAATAAACCTTCCTATACAAGGCCCCTAAAAGGTGAGGTCTTTTAACAAAATGTTGAAATGACCCCAGAAAATATAGTCTTAAAGGTGAAGATCTTTAAAAATGTTTTTAATGTTTATTTTTGAGAGAGAGGAGTAAGGACAGAGGATCCAAAGCAGGATCTGTGCCTATAACAAGTAGTCTTGTGTTAGGCTCAAAGTCACTTATCACAGGATCATGACTTGAGCCGAAGTTAGACACTCAAACAACGGAGCCACCCAGATACCCCAAAGGTGAAGTCTTTTAAAAGATATTCTGCTGGGGCACCTGGGTGGCTCTGTCGGTTGAGCATCCGACTTCAGCTCAGGTCATGATCTCACGGTTTGTGGGTTAGAGCCCCGTGTCAGGCTCTGTGCTGACACTAGCTCAGAGCCTGGAGCCTGTCTTCAGATTTTATGTCTCCCTCTCTCTCTGACCCTCCCCTGCTCATGCTGTCTCTATCTCCCTCTCTCAAAAAAAAAAAAAAAGAGAGAGAGAGAGAGAGAGATTCTGCTGAGAAGCTGAGGTGGAAGATTGGCCAATTTTTTCAGTGTGAAGTTTTCTTTACATTTCTTATGGCTCAGGTAGGGTTTACTCCATAGTTACTGACAGAGGTTAAAAGAGTTCATTTCACTGTGCCCTACCTCCCTCTCTGTCTCTAGTGGGTCCCAGAGACTGCCTTCATGAGTGTTTTATCATTGCTTTGTAGAGAGAGAGGAATGGGGTCTATGAAAAGTGTTATGAATAAATGATGATGTTTTGAACAGACTGGTGTCTGTTATATAATATAAAGTTCTAGAAGTCAGAGCTTTCTTTAAAATGCAAAGGTATATTGTAAAACACTATAGGTAATAACAGAGTTATCCTAAGGTCATATGAAGCTCTCTTCTAGGTGATATGAAGTCATGGCTATGATTTCTAGTCCATACTTCCTACTATAGTGACAGGTCTGTGATCCAAGAATAATCATAATCATAAGAATACATATCAAATATTGATTGTCTACCTAATGCTGGGCACAAAGTATATAATATTTTTATATTCTTACAAAAATCCTACAAGACAGATACCATTATTTTTAGTATATAGATAAGTAAAGGCTCAGAGAGGATAAATAAATTACTTATAAAGAGCTAGTAAATGGCTCCACTATCATTAGAACAGGCTTGTTTGTTTCAGGGTGTGAGCCTTTTACATTGAGTACCATGATGCATATTGCAGAAATATCTAATTAAAATTATGCTTGTTTTGAATTTGTTTCTTGTTTTTATTAATTTTTTAATAGTTTATTTATTTTTGAGACAGAGAGAGACAGAGAATGAGTGGGGAAGGGGTAGAGAGAGAGACACACAGAATCTGAAACAGGCTCCAGGCTCTGAGCTGTCAGCACAGAACCTGACGAGGGGCTCGAACCCACGAACTGCAAGACCATGACTGGAGCCGAAGTCGGACGCTTAACTGACTGAGCTACCCAGATGCCCCCTGAATTTCTTTCTTAGTCATTTGTTATGCAACTAAAATATCTCCTCTGTTAGAAAATAGTGAATAGCTAACATAGGGAAAAATTGGTTTTGGTACATAAGGGAGAGAGAGTTGGAAGAAAACTGGATCCAGAAATACAGAGATCGGAGGTATAGCTTAGTAGTAGAATATTTGACTGCAGAAATACAGAGATGAATGGGAGGGAAAAAAATTATTATCCCCAGCATCACATATTCCTTTAGCTTGTGCATTTCTTCATGCACTTCATTTATTCATTCAATGAATAGTATTTTTAAATTTATAGAGACATTTTATCCTCATAGAACTAAAAGTAATTACATAATTAAATACTTACTTGCAATTATGAAGCCCTACAAAGGAGAAGTTTAGAGGCTGTGGGGGAAGATAAAAGGAAGGAAAAACTCAGTTAAGAAGTCAATTTAAGCTTTCCTTGAGGAAGTGATAAACTGAGCCGACTTTTGAAAAATAAGCAGAAATGAACCAATCAAAGGAGGCATGAGGAGAGGTGTCTTGTTCCGGGCAGAGGGAATTGTACATGGGAAGGTCCAAAAGCAGGAAATAAGGCCAGTGTGGCTGGAGCTCAGAGTAAGTAGGAGAATGTAATTAAATGCGATTCATCAGGTAGGCAGGGGCCAGAACATGCAAGGCCTTGTGGGTTATATTAAGTACTGTTTTTTTTTTTTAAATAATTATCTATCATTTTTATCTATCTGCTCGGGATTCACCTCTCCCCTCCTTTTGTTGGGCAATGAATTACGTATGATTTACCCTTAAGGTGCCAATCTTTAAACCATGAAACTCAGGGGGAACTAGTCTACCAGGAGCTTCAAGGGTGAGCACATGTTAAATCAGCCTTGATCAATCAGAGAATAACCTTCTTGTCTCCCTACAGGAACTGTTAAGAGACGGAAGCATACAGCCCAAGTCAGGCCAGGCAGAACCAATAAGGCTAACTGACAGCCTTTTGCAGGTGCTGTTGCAGAAAAGTACTCTCTTTCTGTGGGGATTGCTGCCTTTGTGGGATGTAAACCTAAAGCTAGGCAACCAGAAGGGGAAAGCTCAATTCTCTCAAAGGAAACATCTCTCCTACAGTATAGCCAACACACAGGCCAGCCGAGTTGAGAGATGAAGAGATAGGTCCGGTTGACATAAATGAACAGATCTCCTCTATAACGTTTTAATTTTGTGAAACAGTAAATTTCTCTTGGCAGGCAAGCCTGTTTGAAATATATTTTAGTCACTCAGATCTGGAAGAGTCTTGATTGATTTTCTAAAGTATGGTACGAGAATTGAAGTGCGGTAGGTAACAGACTTTAAAATGTGGAATTATCAGAATGTTAGTAAGGAAGATACAGTGATAAGCCCTCTTTCATTAGCTGAGAAATTCACACAGCAGTTGATTAACTTGTGACTGTGGCATCCTGAGACTTAGAGCCTGGGCCTTTGAGACTGGAGATTAGAGGGCATGTTTGAGAAAAAAATCAGGAACGTATTGGCTCTCTCTTGGGAGGTTTAGGGAGGTCCTTAATGAAAGGGGCAAACTGCAGTTAAAGCTGGTTTGTCTGGAAGCAGTGAAAACACAAGAGCAGACCTGAGCCCTTACCCTGAAATCCCAAACAGCCAAGAGTCAGAAGTACTTTAACTGTTTGGAGTTTACAAAGTCAGGTTCTCGCCTCCAATTTAAATTTAGTGGTATCAGAGTTGGGGAGGGTAGAACAAAATTGGAAAATAAGATTGAAACCAGAAGCCCTACCCACGCCTGTTGACAGAACTTCAAAGTCAATAGTCAGAAGACAGAAAGATCCTGATTGGAATCTAGAATAAAGGATTAGGCCTCAATGCTAACTCCGGCTTTTGTTGCTTACTCACTGAATTTACTGGAAACAAATAGTTTGTCGAGTTTACCAAGCTTTTAAGGAACTTGGGTTACCAGAGAAACTCAAATACCCATAAACTCAGGGGTGTGATTGCTCAACCCCCTAGGCAATACTGAGTGGGAATCTTTAAGCCACACTAACAGAAACAGCACTGTTAGTCAGATATGATAATCAGAAAGTAAATATTCCTCAGTGTCGTTCTTAGCTGTGGCCATACAGGACAAATTACAAGGAAATCTTCCCAGAAAACAGGTCCAAGAGCAGACAGAAGAGATCCCCCAAGAAATTCACTTTGAAACCAAAACTAGGGGTCCTTCTCCTCCTGTCTAGCAGGATAGTAAGTATGCAGATAGTAGATTGCATACTGCCCCTCCTCCCATTTCCCCTTTTTAAAGTAGAGGTTTTTATGGTAGCTGTTTTGTGTTCTCCTCATAAATGTATATTATGTTTGTTGGAGATGGTTAAATGTCTCATTTTACAATAGGTTTCTTAACCATGAGGAAAGCACAGTAAAGAGAGTCTGGACTCAGGCTGGATGCAGTAACTGGATAAAACTCGAGTGGTGCTGGTATTCGTATATTTTTTATTCTATCTGATATTATTGCCTAATGTAGGCTTGGGGAATTCAAAAAATTTAGGTATAAGAAAAATAAATATGGATCTTGTGTAGCCAGAAAGTGAATATAATTGTCTGTGTTTTGGCCTATTCTGAATCCATTTCTCATAGGTTCACTCCCTGATTTTCTCAGGGGAACTATTCTCTCCTCCTCAAACACACCCTCCACCCCCAACCCAGGTAGGTGACTAGGTGAATCTAACTTCATGTGCAGCCTCAGAGGTCAATATTGACATGGACCTGGCCAATCAGAACACTGTAAACCTCTGGGGCACCTGGGTTTGGTTAAGTGTTGGACTCTTGGTTTTGGCTCAGGTCATGATCTTATGGTTCATGGGGTGGAGCCCCACACCACACTCTGCACTGACAATTCCGAGCCTGCTTGGGATTCTCTCTCTCCCTCACTCTCTGCCCCTCCCCTGCTTGTGCTCTCTCTCTCTCTCTCAAAATAAGTGAACATTTTTTAAAAAACATTGTAAAGCTCTGATTTTAGTGATTGATTCTGGACATCTGAATCACATGTTCATACCTAGACCAGTTAAATCAAAAGTGATGAGGCAGTTCTGGAGAAGAGGTATTTTATTTCTGTTGAGATTGTTGCAAATATAGAATATAAGCTTCGAGCTTCTAGCAACTATCACAAATGAAGAACCTACCTACCAACAGAGCTAAAATAGACAAAATAAGAGAAGAGAGAGAGACTTGGTCCTGGTGATAGCGTTTGAGCCACTTCATCTAGGTGAATCTAAAGATAATCTATCCTTGATATTTTTATTATGTCAGTTAATCCTCTGCCCTTCAACATTTTGGGGGGGGGGTGTGGGCAATTTAGTTTATGTTGGTTTATTTCCTTCCCAACTGAAAGAGTGTTTAATTCAAGAGCAACAGGATGTCATGAAATGGATTTTATCGGGAGAGAGATGTGATGAGACTTGGGATTTTTTAAGACAAGGCTTTGATTCAGCAACTCTTCTTGAAGGAACACCACTAAAGCCTTTCCCATGTCATTCCTGAAAAGTAATAAAGAAGGCAAATTATTTGGCTTACTGGTTGTACCTATATTTGTACCCAGTGTTTGTAAGGAGACCAAATGTAACTGGCTAGGGGTCATTGCTGGAGACACGGTAGACGAGTAGAATATTGAATACACATCATTTTGTTTATTCTTCTTTACGGCCTGCTGTTTAATCTCCCTTTACTTTGCATAGAATTCTACCCATGAACACTTTTATACTTTTACCAAGCCAGTTAGCATTTCACAGATGACTAATTTCTGGTTCATTTGCTGATTGTGAATTAAAAGTTTGAGAAGACAGTTGGTAGGACTCCTTTGTCTTCTCCAAGATAGAAATATATTAAGCATTTTTAATGAAAAGATGGAAGAGAACAGCCCTTTTAATTGCTGTAATTATCTATAGCAAGATACAGAATTACTCATTAGCATTGATTATGTCACATATGCATATATTTATTAAGACTAAGAAGAATATTGGGAATTTTCTAATGAAGTTAGAAGTGTCTGGCTGTCTTCTGGCACATTGTATAAACTAACCTGTTTTTTTAAAAAGTCTTTTAATTTTACCCAATATGTAAAAGTAAAGTATACGACTTGTATATCACATTTTTAAAGGCATTTTGTTGCCCTCCATTTCATCTCCTTGCCCCACTATGGCCCAGATTGTGCACATGATGGTATGAGCCAGTGTTGATCATAATCCTTACAGATGAGGCCAACACTTCAGAGGAGGCAGAGCAACAGTGAAGAACTAACTTGGATCCTCAAATGACCTCCTGGAATGGAGCCACCTACTTACCTTGGAGCACAGATGGAAATAAATAAACTCTGTTTTATATAAAGCATGATAGTTCAGTGACTCTTTATTATATCAGCTTAGCATGTACCCTAATTATATATCCATCAAATACAATGGATTATTATTTCCAAATAATCACTGGTGTGTGTGTGTGTGTGTGTGTGTGTGTGTGTGTAGCAGATAAAGTGGCCAAAAGCTAAATAAAACACAACTGTTCCTTTATCCCATGTAGGATCACCCTACATGGCCATGGCTGTTGAACTTTAGAATGCATAAGAATTTCCTGGGAAACTTTTTTAAAAAGATAATTTCTGGGGTGCCTGGCTGGCTCAATCAGTTAAGTGTCTGACTTTGACTCAGATCATGATCTCACAGTTTGTGAGTTTGAGCCCTGCATTGGACTCTGTGCTGACAGCTCAGATCCTGGAGCCTGCTTCAGTTTCTGTGTCTCCCTCTCTCTCTGCCCCTCCCCCACTTGTGCTCTGTCTTTTTCCCTCATAAATAATAAATGAATAAACTTAAAAAAATAAAAAAATAGAAGGATAATTTCTGGTTCTACTCCCAGAGATTCTCATTTACTTGGGCAGGAGTGTAGTCCAGGAGTCTACATTTTTAAGTAAGCATTAGAGATAACTGTGATATAAATGGTCTGAGAAACTTTATGTGTAGATACATCAACACTGCCCATGGAAAATTATGTGTACTTTATGAAAAATATGGGTATCTAACAGAATAACAAGGGATGTGTCTAAATTCACAATTTTTTAGCAGAAAAATTTGAATGTGATTACTTGGTTTATAAGTAATGTTATTATATTTACTTTTTTAAAATGTTTTTAACATTTTAATTTAATTTTGAGAAACAGAGAGCATGAGTGGAGGAAGAGCAGAGAGAGAGAGGGAGACACAGAATCTGAAGAGGTTCCAGGTTCTGATTTGTCAGCACAGAGCCCAATGAGGAGCTCAAACCCATCAACTGTGAGATTATGACCTAAGCCAAAGTCAGATGCTTAACTGACTGAGCTACCCAGGTGCCCCTATATTTACTCTTTTAAAATCAGATTGAATTTAATTCTATCTAAGATATACCAGAACTTGCCACACTTAATTCTGGGGGCACCTGGATGGCTCAGTCAGTTAACTATTTGACTCTTGATTTTGGCTCAGGTCACGATCTCACAGTTCAAGAGTTGGAGCCCTGCACTGAACTCCATGATGACAGCATGGAACCTGCTTGGGATTCTTTCTCCCCCTTCTACCTGCCCTTCCCCTGCTCATGCTCGCTCTCTCTCAAAATAAATAAATAAAAATTTAAAAAAATAAGAAAGGAAACAATTCTGCATGTTCTAAAATGTTTGAAATATGCTAAAGTTATGAATAATAATTGAATTATAGAAAGTGACTGAGAATCTGAAATTTATATCAGAAAGATATAAAACAAGAGGGGCGCCTGGGTGGCTTAGTCGGTTAAGTGTCCGACTTTCGCTTAGGTCATGATCCCGCGGTTCGTGGGTTCGAGCCCCGCGTCGGGCTCTGTGCTGACTGCCAGCTCAGAGCCTGGAGCCTGTTTCAGTCTGTGACTCCCTCTCTCTCTGACCCTCCCCTGCTCATGCTGCCTCTCTCTCTCTCTCTCCTAGAAATAAATAAAACATTAAAAAAAAATTTTTTTTTAAAATAAAAAAAAAGAAAGATATAAAACAAGAAATAGAATTCTTGCTGCAATATTCAGTTTTTTATGTAATAAATGAAGGTTCTAAACTTTAATTTATTTTGAGAGAGAGACAGAGTGTGAGCAGGGGAAGGGCAGAGAGAGAGGGAGACACAGAATCTGAAGCAGGCCATAGGCTCTGAGCTGTCAGCACAGATTTCAATGCAGGGCTCAAACTCAGGAGCCATGAGATCATGAACTGAACCAAAGTCAGATGCTCAACCAACTGAGCCACTCAGGCACCCCTAAAGGTTCTAAACTTTAAGCAATCATAAATTTAAGGATAGAATGACAACCTTAGTATTTGTTTCTTGGATATTTCTGTAACTTATTGAAATAGCAAGAGGTAAGTAAGCAGATAAGAAAAAGGAAGGGAAAGGAAATGCTAAACTTAGCCTCCTCTTGCCTCAAATCCTCAGGTTTAAAAAAAATATGATGCCTTGGAGGAAAACAAAAGCCAACCTGGGGTAAAAAAAAAAAATGCCTCCAAACTGTGCCTTTAAACTCTTTACTTCATTTTTGTTGAATTATGGGTCCTCTACCTCTTGCTATATATTTGCTGTGAAGAAAAAAGGACCTATTTTTCAGCTGAGGGCTTATTCCACTTTCTCAGAATGCAAGAAAAACATAAAACGAGGAAAATTTTGACCTAATGCAAATTTTTCTTCAAGGTAACTATGTTCATTTCGTGGAAGAAAGCAGCTGACACAAGAGGCCTGAGCAGCAACAGAGAAGCGTGTTTCTCTTCCAGACAAGGGGCTTTACATGCTCCTCTCATTCAAAGGAGGAAACAAGTAGGACTTCACATCTATGCTACTTGAAAGTAAAGAGGTGGGGGCACCTGAGTGGCTTAGTCGGTTAAGGTTAAGTGTCTCGCTCTTGATTCCAGCTTAGGTCATGACCTCACGGAGATTGACCCCATGCTGACAGCGTGGAGCTGCTTGGGATTATCTCTTTCCCCCTCTCTCTGCCCCTTCTCCCCATTCGGGCTCTCTCTCTCTCTCTCTTTCTGTCTCTCTCAAAAATAGATAAACATTGAAAAAAAAGTAAAGAGGTGAAAATTTTCACACTTTTTTACTTCTTTACCTTTTCACATTTTTTTTTAGTGGGTTTTTCAAATGGTTAAGCAGTTTACCTTTAATAGACATTTAAAAATGCTCTTTTTTGGTGTTTTCATTCCAGAGGAAAGAATGCACTTTGCACTCTGATATCAACATTATTAGTGCATGTAAATTTTTCTTTCCAAGAGAGTCCAGAATTACTTTGTGTAAACAGATTCCTAGAACCTGAAGTCTTATTTGGCATACATATAAATTTTAAAAGGAACTACCAATCAGCAATATCAAATTTCTCGACATCCTGTTATATATCTGGATGTGGGTGAAATACTGTTATCTAGTTTTTATTGCAAAGCAAAAATTCAAAGCTGGGTGTTTACACAAAGATACTCTCAGTGCCATACCATTATGAGGAATAATTGGGTAATGTAATGTTTGTAATATGTAATGTGTTTGATTGAAGATTTTTAGGAAAATTAATTTTGAGAAAAGCAAGCCATGTTTTCTTGGTGGATTTTTGTTTGATTTTTAAGTTAATGTTAGTGACATAATTTTTTACTTTAAAATTGAGTTTCATGAAACAAGTGAAGGGGTTTAAGAGGTATAAACTTCTAGTTATAAAATAAGTACGTCATGGAGGTGAAAAGTGCAGCATTGAGAATATAGTCAATTAAAAATTAAAATAAGTAGCACGTTTTCCCCTTTTAAAGTTACCACCACATTAGTACCTTCTAGTTGTGAAATTTCATGACTTCATTATAATTAGAAAAATCTAGAAAGCTCTGATGCTATAATGCCTGCCTTGGCTTCCCACTGTAGTCTTCCTGTGTCAAGATGCTAACCTCTATACATATATTTTACTTACTTTCCATCCCCAAATGCTTCTGAGCTCCAAGATACCCTTCTTTATAACAATGTTCTTTTTCTGTGTATAACTGTTAACATTTTACTGAGGAAGAATGACTTAAAAGCCTACATCACTGGATTTTGTAGGTGAAATTTTGCTTAATTATTGACTGAGAGGTATTTGCATCAACAACTATTTTACGTAATTCATTAGACTAATTCTCAGAAGAAAAATAAGAAATACTCCTCTTGAGACTGTTTACTCAACAAGTTCATCACTTAACATTTAAAAAAAATTTTTTTTTTAAATGTTTGTACTTATTTCTGAGAGAGAGAGAGACAGCTTGAGCAGAGGAGGGTCAGAGAGAGAGGGAGACACGGAATCTGAAACAGGCTCCAGGCTCTGAGCTGTCAGCACAAAGCCCGACACGGGGCTCAAACCCACGAACTGTGAGATCATGACCTTATTTGAAGTTGGACGCCCAACCGACTGAGCCACCCAGGCGCCCCCATCACTTAACATTTTAAACTGTTTCTGTTTGAGCAGAAGCAAGAGATGGAAGCATGAAGACTAATTTACTGTTTGACAGAGTTTGTTATTCAAAAACAGGCTTCTGTGACCAATTCTAAGTGGCCGAGGTTTGGGGTAACCCTTTTGTGGTTTTACAAGTGATTGTCCTTAAAATCTGAGTTTCTTAAGATGAATCCACATATGTGTCAGTAAAGACCACAGCTTAAGAGTATCCTCCCCATTCCCCATTCTATTTTAACCAATATATACATGTGAGTTTAACCACAAGAAAATTGACTGCATCCATAATGTCATGGTCCTCAGGACATCTGCCAACTATTTCAAAACATAGAGGGCATTGGCTGGCATCAGAGAGATAAATGGTATTTAGTTTTGAAAACTGATTTTGCAAGTGTTCTTGTTTGTACTATGCCTCATAGAATCTCATTCAAATATGTTTTGCAAAAGTGTGGTTACTACCATATTGATCCCTGAAAAAAGACAGGTACTGTACTCCTTAGAAGAGAAAATATTCTCATCACATTTGGTTAAGGTTCATTTATGAACCCCAAGTACTCTTCATTCAGCATAGATTTTTCCATCTGTTCCATGGACAGCTACTTTGGACATAAAGAATATCTACAAAAGCAAAATATTTTATTAAAAGGTCCAGATTTCTCTAGAGAAGAATAATTAAATTTTTCTTTATAAAAATTCAAAATAGTGGTCACAGTTTATGATAAAAGAGACATCTGTTTCTATAGGTCCAAAAGTGTGTTCAGAAATTGTCCACAAACAGCTTATATGAGGGGATTATACTACATAATTGGATAGCCCTTTTTTCTTCCATAAAGGAGCACAGAGTAAGGTTTCTTATTAAAAACATGTGCGGGGCACCTGGGTGGCTCAGTTGGTTAAGTG